TTTCCGGCGGATGCCTTACCTCCCTTGGGCTGGGCCAGCGGGTGGTCGGCCTGCTCCGTCTCTGCCGCTTGCCAGCTACTCCTCGGCCGGCGCAGGGGGCAGAACCACGCATATGCGGCGCTCCCGGGCAGGGATAGTCCTCGACTTACGACCGGTTTAGTCCTCGACTTACGACCGGTTTAGTCCTCGACTTACGACCGGTTTAGTCCTCGACTTACGACCGGTTGGGGTCGTGGCATTAAAAAGGTTGAGAACCACTGGTCTAGAGTGTTCTCTCGCAGAGAAGAGATATAAATTCATCTCATCCTTTTTCCTAAGCATCTAACATGTGGCTGGGCTTTGCCCGCTCCCATTCGTTATTTATGAATGAATCATTATTTTCTGTAGCGGAGCCCAGAAATGTGTCTAACAGGACTTGTAAAAAAAATGAAGAACGGGGGGGGAAAAAAAGCAGGATAAAATTGCCCTAGGTCAGCGTCTCTACTGCTCACCCCTTGGTTCTGGAGCGGCCGCACAACGGCCGAGCAGTCGTGATGCATCCCTCTGGCTAAGATACAGACAAATTGAGCTTGTATATAGATATAATTGCCACTGTTAAAGAGTAGAAACTCTTTTATTTCTTCACCTCTTGCAATTTGTCTTTGTTCGGGATTAATTGGAATAAATCTTGTCTCTCAAATCACAGCTTCTTTCCTCCTATCTCCCTCACCGTCATACTCCATCACGCGACTGACTGAATTTGGGGGCCGTCTCTTAATCGGTTGTAACATCTCTTCCAGCTTCTAATGAGGATCGTTTCTGAAACAAAATCAGGAGTACGTAGCTGCCGAGTGGAATCTCGCACGGGGTGTGAAGCTGGGGGAGGTCTCTACTTCCATGTTAGCTCATTGGCGCTCTCTGAGCTTGGTTGTTTTCTTTCAGACATTTCATGACCCAGCTAGGTAACGCCATCAGTCCTGGAAGGCAGTGGGGTCTGCAGAGAAGATGAGGAGGGGGAGGAGAAGGGCGGCTATAGGGTCTTTGGTGCTCTCTGAACATGATTGCTTTCTTGCAGACATTTCATGACCCAAACTAGGTAACATCATCAGTGCTAGTGAGGAGTGAGATTTGTTTGAGAGGAGGAGGAGGGTGGCGGCTGTGGGGTCTCTGAGCATGACTGTTTTCTTGCAGACGTTTCATGACCTTCATCCATGTTAGAAGGGGGTGGGCTTTGGTCTCTATTTATATACCATTGACTTCCCCTGTCAGGGTCGGTGGGGATGTTCTTGGTGATCCTTGATTAGGCTGTGACTTAGTGAGTTGTTAATTCTTTGATAGTTTACTGCTTGGTGTTAACCCTCCTCCCAACCACTGCTTTAGTTTGAAATGTGGGGAGCTGCCCAGAAGAGACTATTTTAGACTCTTATTACTATGTACACAGTATTTTAGGTCAACTCCAATGATTTCCGTAAACCTACAACAAGCTATTTATTCTCTACTGGGTTTATTTTTTTTTATAAACGTCATTTCTTTATTGCTACATGACGTTATCTACATATAACACAACAGTCCCATTCGTTTTCATGGATGCTCCATGCGAGGGACCCTGGTTTTGAACACACGACCAGTTGGGTGCATTTGCACCTTATTTTGAAACAAAGCACGGCTGAACGTTTTGTGTGAATTGGGACTCCTGAGTAAATCTTACAATAGGCTTGCAAATAACGCTTAATAGTAAGTGAAGAGTAAATCTTACAATAGGCTTGCAAATAGGCTTAATAGTAGCAGTCTCGCCTAGGAGGTAGAGATTGAACCTTGGGGTGGTTCCAAAGTGAAATCTGAGCCACGTTTTACAGCTTTCGCTTTGTATACCAATTTTGGAAGATGTATTCCAGACCAAAAGCGAAATGGTAGTTAAGGGCTGCTTGTGAACATGTCACTTAGAGTGTTTTTAAAAAATTTCAGAATCATTTTTAAATTACACCACTTGAAATTCTCCATACTCCAAAGGCGTGTTGAGAGCTATGCTTAGGAATGATTTATGTATTTTCCTGCCTTAAACTAATGACGGGCTAATGTGAACATACAGATCTAATCTTTTCCCTCTGTAATCTAAATGTTGGTTGTCCCCATAATGAGGAGGAAGAAGCTTTGTCAGGAGCATTATTATGGATGTAGAAAAATGCTTTCTGTGCCTGTGATTCATTGGCTCAGTCGAAACAGGGAAACAGCAGAATTTACTGACCCTCGTATTTATACATGAATCATTTTTGATCTTGCATTTTGCATTTTGCATTTATGGCATATTAAACGCCACCACGTTCCTTGATTTTTAATCTAAAGCCCAAGAAGCAAAATCTCTTTAGAAGGTCCACTTTGGAATAACCTTAAAAGGTTGACCTTCAGAAATTTCAGCCCTAATGTAGAAGCTCAAAGGGTGTAAATAAAACCAAATTTGTCTTCTCCTGTGATCTCTGTCCCTTTTCGTATTTATAGTCTCAGTTGCATATCCTGCCAAACCATGCTTGTTTAACGTGATTTATGCAGCAAACCAAACTCGGCTGTGTTTTCCGTACACTGTACACGGAGCCAAAATCAGACAAACTATATGATATTTACAATGCTGGGTACAAATTTTCATGTTTTCATTTTGGTGGCCTGTCCTTTCAAAACCTCTGCACGCCTGTCTGTCTGTTTTACTGAACAAGCCATCTTAAATGTCTTTTTTCCTTCTGTAGGAAATATGCTATATTAGCTCGTCCTTCTGTTCCCGGTGAGCCTTTGGCTAATTTTAATTAGATGGGCTTGAATTCGACTACAGCTGACCCTTGAATTGAAGGAAGAGAATTAGATGCAGGCAATTAAATCTCTCTAACCTTCTTTTTTTATAATCCTCTCTAAAATTAAGCGATTTCTATTAGGTTCCGTCTGTTAGTCATACACGTTTCCATTTTATGTTTCTAATGTCTAGGTCCATAACCATGGTCAAAAATTGATTACCCTGATTCATCTTGTAAAAGAAAGGCCCGCGGGTAAAATGGCTAAAGGTTCGGCGCATCCACATCCAATGTTAATTGGCTCCTATCAGCTCAGGAGAGAAAGAAATAGCGATAGCACTGAGACTTATAAACCGCTTCATAGTGATTTACAGTGGTTTACAGAGTCAGCTTGTGCAAAAGAGCTTCTCTCTAGTGCCATGAAACTTTTTTTAATATGGTTTCCTCCTGCTGGAATGGGGCAACTCACCACAACCAATTCTTCATGGCCAACTCTCCATGGCCAATTTGCCACGGCCAACTCTCAGTGGCCCACTCTCCATGGCCAAGTCACCGTGGCCAACTCTCCAAGGCCAATTCTCTGTGGCCAACTCTTCATGGCCAACTCTTCATGGCCAATTCTCCATGGCCAACTCTTCATGACCAATTCTCCAAGGCCAATTCTCCATGGCCAACTCTTCATGGCCAACTCTTCATGGCCAATTCTCCATGGCCAACTCTCCAAGGCCAATTCCCCATGGCCAACTCTTCGTGGCCAATTCTCCATGGCCAATTCTTCATGGCCATGGGACAACTTGCTGCGGGACAATTCAAGTTAATTATTTAAAATTATTTTAATTTTTGTCATTCCTGTTTCATTTTGTCTCTCCTTTGGCGTCCTTCCCCGAATGATTCTAATCCACTGTTTCCTCAATACGAGTGTAACTTTTGTCCCACGGCGAGTCGTCTGGCGTTGAGTTGGTGGCAAGTTGTCTGTGGGGGGAGTTAGCCGGGGGGAGCTGGCTGTGGCGGGTTGACTGTGGTGAGTTGCTGTAGACCCCCCCTCTCCTGCTGCGCCTCCAGCCACCGTCAGTGCACTCTCCCCTTCCCCACAGAATATCCGTCAATGACACAGAATCCTTTGCAGCCTTCAGTTCAACAGAGGGCGGTGCTGCACAGGGTATAAAAATACGCTCCGGGGCTCCGAGTGTGAGTCACCCCGTTTGCAGTGGTGAAAGGCGAGGATAATTTGGGCCTGACTGAGTTTCAGAAGCCTACGGGAACCGCTGCGGTCTTTTGCTCCCCGGCTCAAATCTTTAGCCGGGTTAATGTTCATTTACCTTTCCAGCGATGCTATAGGTTCCTGATGTGCGGGGGGGGAAAAAAAATCTATTACCTTTTAATTCTCTATCTGGTTCTTTGCCTGCAGGGGATTCTCACAAGTGGTTGTTTACAACCTGCATATTTCAAATCTAATATCAAATCATCAGCTGAGGCTGACATCTCTCGACTGGTTTCTCCGTGGGAACATCAGATATCAATAGCTGACATGACTGATATTAAGTGGGAGGCTTTGTCTAGCCCACCGAGGGAAGATTGTGCCTCCCGTTAACAAAAGGGGCATCCTCGAAGCATGTTTATAGCAGCTATGGCTGGCATTTGATAAGGCCCTTCCTCTCTTCCTATCTGATGGGAGGCAATTAGTTTTAAAACAATTAGAATTTCTCCCCCCTCCCCAGAGTTCTCAAGCAGAGTGAGCGGTGCTCCTTAATGAGCAGTGAATTTGCCATGGTTCGGCTTCCGTTCTGGCTTTTTCTTTGGAAAAAAGAAAAATAAGCCGAGATTTGAAGCTGTGTGCCTCTCTGTTTAGGAAACCCCTCTCTTCCCTCCCTGCTTCCTTTCCTCCCTCCCTNCCCTCCTTCCCTTATCATCCTTCCTTCCCTCTCTCCCTCCTTTATCTTCCTTCCTTCCTTCCTTCCTTCCTCCCCCTCCCTCCCCCTTTACCTCCCTCCCTCCCTCCTTTACCTATCTCCCTCCCTTCCCTCCTTCCCTCTCTCCGTTATCTCCCTTCTTTCCTTCCCTCACTCCTTTACCTATCTCCCTCCCTCCCTCCTTTTCCATCCATCCATCCATCCATCCATCCTCAACCCAAGTTATTTAAGTATTCTATAACTGTCCCCTCCTAACCCTCTCACGGCCATCTGGGTCTTTCTGATAGAAGACAGAGGTGCTGTTTCTAACCCTTTACCTCTCCCAATTATTTAGGAGTCCCAACGATCTCTCCAGGCACATCATCGGCCTGCAGCAACGGGAGCTGATCCTGAAAGAACAGAACTCTGCCATCTCCAGCAGGTAAAGGACTTTGTATTACTAACTGGGTTAATTGCGCTTCCAATGTTTTCAGAATAAGCCACGCTCTCCTTTCATCCAAGCTGCGGCTGCTGCCGATCAGCTTCCCTGTGTAGGTGCGATGGAAAGATAATATTCTGGATAGCAGATCCTCACTGAGCTCTAGAAGTGCGGCCAGAAGGCCCAACAATAGCCCACCTCTGCTTTTTTTACTTGGAAAAAGGTGGTTGGACCCCATCAGTGGTGGGATTCAAACAGGTGAGCAACCGGTTCTCTGTGTGGATGCCGCTTCCGGACGTCCGTTCTGGGCCTGGGCAACCATAAAATTAGCTACCGGTTCTGCCGAAGTGGTGCAAACCGGCTGAATCCCACCACTGGACCCCATCAGTCTTGCCTGGGCTTCAAACATGAGGTGGAGCTGAACATGATTCGTGCTTCAACGGGAAGGTAACCATCCCACCCATCCACGCAAGCATTTAACTCCTGGTCTATCATACAAAATTCTCTTCTTTTGCGCATTAATTGGCAGGAATAATGTTATGGTTTTTTTAAAAAACTGCTTTTTTTTCAGTTGCCCCATTCATCCTGGACATAGTGAGTTTAAATGTATGGAAAGGGGAAAGGAAGAACGATTAAGCGAAAGTTTTGATTTGGAAGGACCAATAAATGTAATGGATTAAACAGAGATAGAGAGAGAGAGAGAGGGAGGGAGGGAGAGGGAGAGAAAGAGAGAGAGAGAGAGAGAGAGAGAGAGAGAGAGAGAGAGAGAGAGAGAGAGAGAGAGAGAGAACAATTGGAAATTATAACTTTCAAGTCTTCCCAGACACTGTCCAATCCTGCTTCTAAATATCAAGATCTCAGTTCTGTAATGTTTTATTCCCTTTTAAGTGGCAACTGAATGCCTATATTTGAACGGTGGCTTTATTTCAAAATTCTCAGAACAGCATCTGGAACATCTTAAAAGGAAATTTTATTATGTGATACATCAAAGATCTGATGGACATTTTTTTCAAAAAAAAAAAAAAATCATAAGAGGTTTACTGCCTTTAATGTTGAAACAACTTGGAAATGACGAGACCTATTTCAGCCGTGGTGGCCCAGTGGTTAGAAGGCAGCATTGCAGGCTGATTCTGCCCACCGCCAGCAGTTCGATCCCGACCGGCTCAAGGTGGACTCAGCCTTCCATCCTTCCCAGGTCGGCACAATGAGGACCCAGATTGTTGGAGGCGAGAGGCTGAATCTGTAAACCGCTCAGTAAAAGCACTATGAAGCAGTATATAAGTCTTAAGTGCCATTGCTATTGCTATTTAGTGCCCAATATGTTGTGCTCATTTTACCAAACGCGATCAGTCAATCGTCATTTTCATTAAGTTTCAGCAGTGGAAGAATTCGTTTTATTTAATTTTTGTAAGGTGTGCTTCTAAAATACAATTTTTAACATCTTCACCTTCATGCACATTTTCCCCTTGATGGCCGTACTGTTGTTGTTTTTTCCCGCCCCCCCCCCCGTCTATGTTTTGTGTTTCATCCGTTCTTTAGACACATCTTGAGAACATAATGTCCTAAAAGTACATTATATCTCAGAGAAAGAAACAGTAGAGTTGTTGACCATGATATTCTGTAGATTTAGTGATATTCCACTGCTTATGACTCCGGGAGGGAAGATGTAGTTTAGCACCCCCCACTACTGAAGCGCCATCGGGACGGCAACCAGGCCCGCTTACACCAGCAAGGAAACAGCATCGTCTTAATTAATTCTTGGTTATTGCTGCTATCCCATTCGGCTCTCCGGGTGAGAAGCGCGTACATTTCTTTTATTATATGGTGTCCACTGTGTGCAATCATAAATGGATATAGCTAGATGAACTTGCGAGGATCTGTTCTACTTCTTCCGAAGACGTGTTAGCAGCTTCATATCATGTTCTCTGCTGTGTTTTTGGGAGGTGTCCTTCAGGAGAACTTCACCTGGTGGGCCTTTTCACGTAGGCTTCAGGATGCCACAAAAAAAAACAAACACGGTTTGGGCTGTCAGTGGCCAGACTACATGGTCATCCCACAGGCGTGGCCTGATTTTTATGAAGTCCAAGATGGCCTCTGTTTTGGCTTTGCCTTCGGAAGATGGATGGATGTCAGTCATCCAAAGTCCTTGTTGTCCCAGAGGTCATTTTCCAAAAGGCAACTGGATTTTCTTGGGGTTTTTTTCCCCCCTTGAAAAAGTTTCACTTCTCATCCAAGAAGCTTCCTCAGGAATGAGAAACGAAAGTCACAGGGTTTCCTGCCTGAGCAGGGGGTTGGACTAGATGACCTCCAAGGTCCCTTCCAACTCTATTATTATTATTACTATTACTATTACTATTATTATTATTATTATTATCATCATCATCATCATCATCATCATCATCATCATCATCATCTGGCAGCCCCTTCACCTGGTCTCCCTCTCTCATCTCTCTTAGTCCTTCCTTCCTTCCTTCCTTCCTTCCTTCCTTCCTTCCTTCCTTCCTTCCTTCCTTCCTTCCTTCCTCGCCCCCCTCCCTCCCCGACAACATGAGCAGCAGAGTGGCCTTCCTGCTTTTGTTTGAGTTTGTGTTACACACAGAGCAAGATCGGCAGCAAAATCTGTTGGGGACAGCTGGGTGTTGCTAATCCATCTGATGCTGGGACTTGGAGCAATTACAGGAGAAAAGGTTTAATTAACCATATTCATTTCTTTCCTGGAACAGTTTCCCTTTCGGAATTTGGTATCTCCTTATCGTCGTTTATCTAAGGGTTGTGTTAATATAACAGTGTTTAACCACCACCCTGTCTGGCATAGGACACGTCTAATGGGCTTGTTGTGCTGCCTCGTTGTGAGCTGCTTGTTTTCCAAAAGAACCAATTAATCTTTGCTCTGCAGGGCTCCGATAGGAAACATCCAAGGTTTTTACATCTCGCTCCAAGTCGGATTGGTATGAATTCAGACACAGTTTAGAATCCTGGTTTGTGTTGTAGTATAGAGGGCGAACCTGGCCAGTGCTGAGTTTTGGAACATCATGGCTTCCTGGATCAAAGGACTGATGGGAATTGTACATTCAGATGTACAAAATGCTGTGATCGTAGCTTTACCAATAAAGTAGAATTAGCTCGTCTGGTGGATCTTGTCTGATCTACCTGGTAAGGCTGACAGGTGCCCATTTCACAACAGGTAGTGGAAGAGTCAGTGTCACTTCGGCTGTCATCATTAAAAAAAAAGATACTTATTTGGCATCTTCTTTCCCCCGTCTTTGGAATATCACCGTAGCCCCAAATAAAGATTGATGATAGATGTCCCATCCCTGGTTTGTTCCAGTGTATCTATCTTTTGCTCTGAGAAAGTGGGTGAATACTTTTCTTCCTTCCTTCCTTCCTTCCTTCCTTCCTTCCTTCCTTCCTTCCTTCCTTCCTTCCTTCTTCCCTCCCTCTCTCCCTCCCTCCCTCTTTCATGCTTTCCTTCCTTCATCTCTTCCTTTCTCCCTCCCTCCCTCCTTCCCTCTTTCATGCTTTCCTTCCTTCATCTCTTCCTTCCTCCCTCCTTCCCTCTTTCATGCTTTCCTTCCTTCTCCCTCCCTCCCTCCCTCCCCTCTCTCCCTCTTTCTTTCTTTCTTTCTTTCTTTCTTTCTTTCTTTCTTTCTTTCTTTCTTTCTTTCTTTCTTTCTGTCAGATGCTATCCTCTTGTTCTTTATTTGGCTCTGTTTAGACACGAGCATCTGAGTTCGCCTGTCTGGCTGGCGTTGCGTGGAAAGCCAGCCAGCAGCGTAATGATGGGGCTCTGAGCTATTTTGGCACAGCTGGACGGCAGAGCTTTTTGCTTCCCCGTCTGCCCCGAGTCCCTTCCGATTCCAGGCCGAGGATCCACCGGCTTGACTCTCAAGGAGCAGAGATCACAATTCTCTCCCTGCTTTCTTTACATTTTATTTCTTACCCTCTTCCGTTGCCTAGCTTGCCACAGCTAATAGCCCCTTATTACAATTAGATTAATGACTATTAACTCTCAGGTGGTGATATAAACATTAGCCTAAATGTAAACGGTCTGTGCTGGGCACAGCAAAGGACGCCTTTTAGAGATAGTCCTCACTTAGTGACTATAATTGGGATGGCGATTCCGTTGCCAAAGCCAGGGGTCACTTAATGGAAGGGTTAACCCCGAAGAAGCTTCCCATCTATTTAAAGAGCCGGTTATAAAATGTATGATGAATTGTCTGAAAAGCCATCCGGGGTGGCTTTTCCCCGCTACTCAGCCGTTAGGTCTTTCCTCTCCAGAGGACCTATTGAAGACCTTCCTGCCTGGTAGTTACCTGGTGATGGGAACCGTCCTCTGGACAGGTGTGCTCGGAGGCAGTGGAGATGAAGGCCCTTCGCAGCCAGCCTGTCCCCTGGAGAACCAGCCACAGCGGTGGCCCCCCAGGCTCAGGAGTGTCCCTTGTGTTATGGCCACTTGGGACATGTTTTGCCTAATGAGCGTTCAGGATTATTGTGCGATAAGGATTCTTTCTGTCTCTGCTAGATCCCAATATATTAAGTCTGAATGTGGACTTCCTGACTCAAGCAAGGATAGAACTTTTCCCTCCCTCCCTCCATCATCCCTCCCTCCATCTCCATCTCCATCCCTTCATCCTGCCATCTCTATCCATTTGCCTATCCCTCCCTCCCTTCCTCTATCTCTCCATCATACATCCATCAATCCATCCTATCTCTCCATCCTATCGTATCCATCCATCCATCCATCCATCCATCCATCATGATCCATCACCCCATCTCTTCTTCCATTATCCATCCATCCATCATGCTCCATTCTCCCACCATCTCTCCTTCCATTATCCATCCATCCATCCATCCATCCATCCATCCATCCATCCATCCTCCCACCATCTCTCCCTCCATCTTCCATCCGTCCATCCTCCACCCTTCCATCCCAAACTCACCCTTTACTTCTCGTAAAGGAGGAGTGATCTCATGCAGCTTCCTTAGCAAGAAATTTTGTTTAG